AATAAATAAATAATAAATATTAAAATCACACACTTGAGAAACTGCAACTGATTATGCCCTTCAAACGACATGAACTACAAATGTGGAAATGCCATTTCTAAAGTGTGAGTTTTCCTGACGATTCCTAAGCTGGTTGGCAAGTGATTTATTCTACAATTCCCCATGTAGAGACATGTAAAAATGACCAGTTTAACATGTGATGGGAACTCCTATTTGTACACATAATAATGAGGTTACTATAGAGGGAGGAGCCTAGATGGGCATTATTGATTTCTTTCTTCTGCCATTACAGTTTTGAGACTGAGTGAGGAGGTATAGCAAGCATTCAAAGATATTCAAAACATTCACGAGAAAAACATAGCAAAGCACGTACATCCTGCGCTTGTCCCTGAGCTCCCTCTTTCAACATTCCCCTTTTCCTGATACATAATAGTAACACCGAAGTCATGTTTAATGTAAATAGTTCCTAATATTCCCCGTGTCAGAATGTAGATTAGTCGTTTTGACACTCAGATGTGTTGGTGTTTCTATTTTTTTAAAAAAACAAACCTACCTCACACCATTCTGTCCGTCCATCTGGGTTGTTATTAATCTTTCTATAGAAAGTTTTAACATCTTGAGCTTTTACATCTGTCCCAAAAAGTTCCTGGACTGCAGCATAGAATTTTTCATAATCGATTTCCTCTGCAGGAAAAAAAAATCCCCCACAGAAGATCAACACAGAAACGAATAAATTGATGTTGCCATTTTCAATACCTTGTTCCATCTTTTCATTTTACTCATACTGAAATCCACCACTGGTTCATGAAATTCCATTTTTGTGCTCATTTTAATTTGGAAAGCTTTCTGGCATTTCCTGTGATAAAAAATCTTGCTGTTTCTGAAAAAAAAATCACTTCCTAACTCCACGTATTTTGAAAAGATTATGGCTGCTATGCTATACCTGAGTACTGGTGTTGATGGCTTCATCAGATGGGGTTTATTTAAGTGGCATCCACCAGTTGTGTGCAAGTTGACCCACAGAACCTACTGGCTCCCATCTCATGCTACAGAGGAACTTCTGGCAAGGCTCTGTGGGTCAACTAGTACAATACTGACATATGCTGCCACCACAGCAACATGGAAGGCTTCCTGTGTTGTACAGGAAGCAATGGGAAGCCACGTGATCAACACTTTCCCCCATGGGATCAGCTTTTTGGTGATCTGGGCAATGCAGGGCATGAAGCAATGGGTTTCCCATGCCCCCTGATGGCAGTCGCCAGATTTGTCATGATGGGTGGCGATTCCAACAGCCTATTTGAAGAGGTCACCAGCTCCAATGGACTTATTAGCACTTACCTCTGAGTAGACCTAAATAAGATTGCTCTGTAAAGCAAAGTAAATGCAGCAGAAGTTGAGACTACCATGCAGATTGTTCATCTGGTGGAAAATATTGTTTCTTACCAACACTTGATGCCTGTGCTTTAAGATCAGTTTCAGAAACCTGTCATAAAGATCAGTTAAAATGGCAGGCAATAAAGATAGACCCTTATATGTATTTTCACCCATTTCCTGGAAATTCCTCCCCAAGAGGCTGGGACTGATCCCATTAAAAGCTTTGAAAACTCACTTATCTGAACAGATCTATATTTAAATGAGTTATCAGTCATTTAATTACAATATTTTAGCCATGTATTTTTATATAGGTTGAGTATCTCTTTTTCAGAACACTTGGGACAAGAAGTGTTTAGATATTTTAAAATGATAGAATATCTGTTGTTGTATATACATATATGCATACCATATGCTCATGTATGTTGACCTCATGTATACACTGAGGGTAGATTTTTAGTCCAAAATAATAGATTTTGATATGCCCTGTGGATAAATCTAGAGTTATTTTGCAGAAGGGGCAAAGCACCAATGTCAAGTCAGGGAGAGGACAGTCCTTGGCCACTGCCACAAATTCCCCATCCAGGCATTCAAGAAAGCCAGAAGAAGCAAAGCAGTGGAAGAAGTAGAAAGGGTCAGAGTTTATTTTAGGTTTCAAAGGAATGGACTAAGTCTTTTGCAATTCTACTCAGAGAGGGGAATAGTTCTTTTTAAAAAATATGAGTTAAGGTACAGTGGTCACACTTGATCCGTGGATAAGTAGACTCGGGTTTTGTGGGTCGATTTTTTAAATTAAAATGTCTGGACATAAACATGAGTGTTTATAGGCTAATCAGATATCCTACGGATGGGACTCAAGTCTAAACACAAAATATATTTATGCTTCATAGACAATTTATACACATAGCCTGAAGGTAATAATATACAAGATTTTAAATAATGTTGTGCATTAAAAACAATGCTGTATGCATTGAGCCACCAGAAAACAAAGATGTCATTATTTCAGCCACCCATGTGGATAATTTTGGATTTTGGTGCATTTCAGATCATTCCAGATAAGAGATGCTCAATCTTTACTTGTATTTTCTTTGATGCTTTGGGTGCACTTCATTTCCAAAGGCATACATTTTACAAAACAATTTTGTCAAAAATTACTATTCTTACCAGCATCTTTTACATACAAGCCTAACCTTTCGTCCCGCTTCTGAGACACAGTTCTTTCCACTAATCTTTCAAACTGCTTCAAGGCATTTTTAAATTGGATTGCATCTGGAATCTCAACTGTAGAATCCTCTTCTTGAATTTTTCTTCTGGATATTGCATTTGGTGTGTTCAGGACTTGTTTTCTCTCAGGTGTAATACTTGATGTTAGCATTGGAGAAATGTCAGCTGAAAGATCTTGTGTGTTGGTTGGGCGAATGGGAAATAACTACTGGTCTGTTTCACATGCATTACAGGGGAAGGCCAATGTCCTGATGTCACAACACCTCATTGAGCCTCATTGGTCATTAGGTCACCTGAGCTCACAAACCATCTTAACTAAAAAGCTGCTGAAACTGAGTTCAGTACAAAACAATAACAAAATGCTATTATGAGATTCAAATGTGCACTTGTTTAGGATGTATAACATACAGAATGCACTTCAACCCTCTTAAGTCAATCCATTGAGTGTGCAAAACAACAACATTCTTCCCTCATTCTATCCCGGCCTCCATCCTTGAAGTAAAATGCAATTACAATCAACTGTAAAGTGAACAAAAAGTGAAGGGAAGAAGCAAGCTACATAGGAAAAGGAAATGATGGCTCTCAACATTTACAACAACAACTTTATTTTTATACCCCACCTCCATCTCACCAAAGGGACTCGTAGCAGCTTACAAAGAGACAAGCCCAGAGAGCACAGAGTTAAAATGTAATGCAATAAAATAAAAACATCACAAAACCAATTAGAAACATATAACAATAAAACATAACATCATGAAAACAGTACCATGGGAGCAATAAAAGTGCTGAGTTCAGAGGAACCTGAGTTTGTGCAAAATTCCTAGATAGAGCTAAGGGAAAGTGCCAAATTCAGTGGCAGGGATGGGAGAGTAATGTCCTTGGGCTTTATAATGTCCAGATTGTAGAGCGGAGGGCCATGCTAAAGGGCCAATTCTTTGGAACTGCCTAATCAAAGGCACAACAGAACATCCATGTTTTTACTTAAGTAAGAGGTGGAGCCCATGATGGTATGAGCAATATCCTGAATGAAGCAAGAAGTGATCAATCATCCCCAGGATAACAGAAATCAGAGTGTACTTTTCCATGTGTCTCGGACTTCTTTATAGGCAAGCCTGCCTATATGGAAAGATATTGAAAGGGAAATACTCTTGGTCTGAAGTCTTATGGAGTATTGATGCAAACTCTGCCTGTTGGGCTTTATTGTATTTCACAAGTTGGAGCATGGATCACGACAAGAAGGATCTCCAAATGGACACAGATGAGCTGGCAAAAAACCCTCAGTCCAGAGATATAGGTTGGAACACCATTCTTGCTTCATGTACATAGCAGCTGCTAAGGAATGTGTTGTTTCAAACAAATTACCAGCTTCCCTATATAGTTGTCGTATAAGGCTGAAACTCCTAGCTAGAATCACTTACATAGCTACATTTCATTCCAGTGTTCTCAGTTGGCTTCTTCCTGTGAAGGTTTTGAATGCAGCACAAGATGAGCTAACCGGCTAAAGGGAAGAAGGTCCTGGGTTGAGTGGGGCATCTACTGTGTCCTGTTTCTTTTTCACTGAATTGGTGAGATTGCCTCTGCATCCAAGGAGAAGTCCTCAAGTGAAGGCACATAACATATTGGGATTTTTTTGTTAGTACTTGACAGATAAATTCTTAAGAATTCAATTCCAGTTCTTTATCAACATTTAGAGTGAAAATGCAAAACAATTAATAATAATAATAATAATAATAATAATAATAATAATAATAATAATAATATGGTATATATACAACAGAAGCAATTTATGGAACAAAGATGTAGTTCTGAGCTACAATATTTCATGTATCCTTCCTGAAGGCACTTTCCACCCCAATATGGTTCAACTATACACAGGGTCAACACATCAGCACTGATCTCTATCTTGCCTAAAAGCAATGACAAAAATAATAGAGAGAAAAGCAAAATGTTAATTGTAAAAGTCAGAGGTAAGCTGTTCAGGAGCATTTCTTCCATTGCAGAATAGATATAATCTAGAATTAGGATCACAACAGATCATGAACTTGCAGAAATCATGCCACTGATCGGGAGGAAAGAGGGGACAATTCTCTTGATTTAGTTCCTCTCAGAGTTATGAAAACAATCTGTAGTTAATTTTCCTTCTTGCACCATTGATGGGGCAAATGGTGGAATGTGATAGAAGCTGTGCAGTGTGTTTTGAATAAAATTAATAGTTCGGAGAGAGGGAAAAACAAAAAAACAGTATCAGAAGACATGTTTTTATTGCTTAGCAGGTATAAGGATTGATTATAGTTCTTAGAGAAGGTGATAGGAAAGCTAACAGCAACACACTCTAAAAAAGGATCAGTTGACTATTGGGAATTTATCAATTAGTTAGTGTCACGTTCCATGTTTCTCTGAAAATAAGACATGCCATACTGGCATGGAGTGGTAAAGAAGACTGGCAGCCCTTCTCATCTGCCCCATCATGACAGCTGCTATTTCAGAGGTGACCAGAGAGGCGCAGGCAGCCCCATCAACAAGGTTGACTCCCCCTGTCAGGTCCTGGTTGTTCTGTATGTGCTGCAAGCTGAGGTATAGAGTGAAAGGAAACATCTCCTCAGTGAAGTCAGGAGCAGGACGCTCTGCTTTAGGTATTGCGTGTCCTCAGGAGGAAGAGGTAAATCAGTGGCTGTCATTTTACTCAACACTGTGGGTACCTATATTTGAATAAATGTAGATTGGTGTACCATACTTAATAAAAATAAGTCATCTCCTGAAAATAAGCCATAGCGTGTCTTCTTGAGGAAAAGTAAATATAAGACAGTATCTTATTTTCAGGGGAACATGGTAGTAGTTTGTTATTCTAGGACAGGGGTCCTCAAACTTTTTAAACAGAGGGCCAGGTCACAGTCCCTCAAACTGTTGGAGGGCCAGATTATAATTTGAAAAAAACATGAATGAATCCCTATGCACCCTGCACATCTCTTATTTGTAGTGCAAAAACACTTAAAAACAATGCAACAATTAAAATGGAGAACAATTTTAACAAATATAAACTTATTAATATTTTAATGGGAAGTGTGGGCCTGCTTTTGACTAATGAGATAGGATTGTTGTTGTTCTGTGCTTTCAACTTGTTTCAGACTTAGGCTGACCCTGAGCGAGGGCTGGGTGAATTACCTTGGAGGGCCGTATCCGGCCCCCAGGCCTTAGGAGGACCCCTGCTCTAGGACTTGGGGAGACCATAGTTCAAGTCTTCACTTGTCCATGGAAACCCACTGGTTATCTTTGGGCAAGTCACTTTCACTTAGCTTCAGAGGACAACAAAGATAAACCCCAATGAATAAATCTTGCCAAGAAAACTCCACAATAGGTTTGCCATAAGGTCCCCATCAATTGGAAATTACTTGAAAACACATAACAACAAACAAGTTACTTAGCAATGTCAGGAAAAAATGCTTCTGTATTTTAGTAGAATTTAAGCAAAAGTTTAAAGGGCTCCCATATTGAAGGAATCATGACAACAAAAAATTAAGCAAAAGTTTTGTAGAATTTAAGCAAAAGTTTAAAGGGTTCCCATATTGGAGGAATCATGACAACATTTTTTTGTTATACATGCTGAGTTGTGTGATTTTATGGTTAGCTTCTGCCAGTGTTGAGCACAGAATTGTCTTTCTAGGTATTTTAGAGCAATTCTATGGTATTAAAAGCTCTTAACCTTTAAACGAACTGACTTTCAATGAGCTGGTGTAATAAGCAAGCTTACAATACTTCAAGATTTGGCCTGGGATGATAACCTTGAGATAATGACCTCTGAATATTGGTTGAATGAACAAGCCATAAAGCAAGCTTCACTGTGACACTGAGTTTATACAAATTTATATTTATGAGTTTACTCCCTTAAGAAATCATATTTTCTCAAAAATTCATAACTGTAATCTCTTTTCAGCAAATTCTTGGTATTCTGCTCTGAGTATTCAGCCATAGTTATTTCACATGAATTATGAAACAAGGAGTGCACTTCATATCATGCTCTAAAACAAGGCAAAGAAGGATCCACTCAATTTATTTCTATCAGACACAAAGATGTTTTCTTTCTCACTGATTCTGCTCTAAAATCAGTCATAAAGACAATGAATATGAAAGGTTCATAGAAGTAAAACTAATTGCATAAAAGTCCTTGCTTGTAAGATTAGATTCTGTGAACAAATAAATGCTGGCCACATTTCAAGGAAGAGTTCAGTATTCGTGAGCCCTCTGAAACTAGCACCTGAACACACTTAACTCCCTATTTTATGTTCTGCTAGGAAGATAGCCTCATGATGGGGATAGCAGAAGTCAAGCTACACTGCCCTCACAGTCAGAAGCCAGAGAACTTCATAAATAGAGTATGATAAAATTACAGATTGCTTCCACAACATTAGTATCCAAACTCACTCTTCTGTTCTGCATGCATGATTTCAAATGTAATCCGAGAAACTCATTCTAACAGTTTTAAAAGGCAGGTTCAACCAAAAGTGAAAATGAAATATATCACTGTACTGTGCTTAAAGTCTTTTGTAGAAGTGGAAAGGAAATATATTCATCCTTGAATATTGGAATAGGTCATTATTAGCACCTTTTTGTGCCCTGTGGATGTTACTATAGTATGGATACTAATTGAAGCTAAAGGTGCAGCTGTGTCAGTATGCAAAACAACAACATAAAGAAATGAAATTGAATAAATCTATTTTGATACAAGTGTTTTTATTTTGAAGATACAGTTTATTTAATCTTATACATAAAATATTACACTTAGTTTTAAGGTGGATGTACACCAGGCATAAGCAAACAGGCACTACAATTCCTACCGGCTGTTAGGAATTGTGGGAATTGAAGTCTAAAACACCTGTCTTTAGCCTTTGTAACAAAGAATTCAAGTATCTCTCCCAACTATAACTCCTTGATTCTATGGCAGTTAAACTGATATCATTCTGCATTAATTTTGTAGTGTAGATGTTCCGATAAATGGATCATGGGAATAATTAGTTAAAAGTAAAGTAAACACTTAATTCAGAGTTATTGTGTGTGTGTGTGTGTGTTTAACCAAAATGTGAGACATTTACATTTCTAAGCTAATGTATTGAGTGGGAATAAGGGAGCAAATACCCTGATATTGCTGTGTAACAA